GTGTGTGTGTGTCTATGTTTGTATGGATGTATGTATGTATGTACATATATATATATATATATATATATATATATATATATATGTTGTTGTGTGTGTGTGTGTGTGTGTGTGTGTGTGTGTGTGTGTGTGTGTGTGTGTGTGTGTGTTGTGTCTATGTTGTATGGATGTATGTATGTATATATATATATATATATATATATATATATATATATATATATATATATATATATATGGACATAAATAGACATATGATAAACGCAATACTGTATATATACAATGCACAACTTTGCAACAGGAGTCCAGACTCGTGAACTATGCAAGACGGGGCTTTTGCCTCTTGGGAATCTGTCCCTCAAACACACAATGTTCCATTTACAGTAGCTTCCTCCATCTTGTAGTTACTTTTAAGAAATAAAATTACTGTCAATAACACGTAGAAAAGAAATAATTTAATCTTTGTTGCTTTTTCTTCTAAAGTTCTGATCAATTTGATATACTCTATGAAGCATGATGGTAAAAGAATGGTCCTCTATAGGATTTGTTATTACCAAAGAATATACTTAATTTTGCAAGAGATTTAGGTATTGCGCGTACTCCGATTTGCAGCGCAGCAAGAACAACCAGCATGAGCACACGGGTTTTAACTTACCAGCAATGAAAGACCAGCAATAACACACCAGCAATAAACACACCAGCTATAACACACCAGCAATAACATAGCTGCATTTAACACACAAGCAATAACACACCTGCAATAAACACACCAGCAATAAAAGACCAGCATTAACACAGGTATTAACACACCAACATTAACACAAATTTCAGATATTGGCCAATATATATTCGTAGCAGGTTGGAAACATTTTTTTGTCTTGTCAACCATATTCATTCTCATTCACACCCTACATGTGTCACAATGAATACGGTTCATACCATAACAAGCCGGATAGGGACTAGGATCATTAACACTTTATTAAATTTAGCGGCTATTAGAAACTTATATCTGTATGATAATCTTTTTTTCTTTCAATTTCACAGCTTCGTTGATTATTGGACTCATTATCATAGGACTTGAATATCATTAGCATTTGGGTATAATGTAATAGATTAATAACGGTATAAACTGCCGGATACGCTCTTTGATATAGGCTACTGCAGGCAAGAATTCATAATGAAACAGTGTTAAAGATATTAATGAAATTCGCTTGGCTTTCGAAGAGATGAGAGGAGAGTTTGAAAACAATTTGAGAAACGGAGGCAGTGAATACGTAACTGAAGATGGTTCTAGATTTAAAAGACAGAAAAGACGAAACGTTGAGGTGTGTGTGTCTGTGTGTGTCTGTGCAGAGCGAAATCCGAAAGATACTTATATGGATTTTGTTCCAGACTCCGCCCGGACAACATTGAAATAGGAGACAATTTAGATATTACTGTAAAGAGAATTTCGATACCAGAATGATAAGTCCATGTATAGCATACCATATCATATTTTCCGATATCATGTTATATGATATAAGATGCGGAACCAGATTAAAAGGTTTGTATAGTGAAAATTGGCTCTATCATATTCTAAGCCATGTTGGCGACCATCACGTTGGCTGCAGCGTCCGAGAAGCGTCAACACTGGCACTCTCGTCCACCTCTCCAACGCACGTGTTCAGCAAAAAATCAGCTGGTATTTTCCCCGCTCGTCGGCCCTCTCCTCTCAGCGAGATGGCGCTCGATGTTGAGTGATAGTTTGCGCTGCTCACTTTGCAATTTTGTAGCTCACTGAGTCAATTCGGTGTGCGTAGGGAGATTTTGGCGAGGCCGCAGTGTCATTGTTATTAGTATTAGTATTATAGTAATCTATATAAAGAGCCACACTGCAAAACTCGAGATACAGCTAAGAAAGAATGAAAGAATAGAAAGTCAGCCATTTACATAAGAAAAACATTTTAGTTGATCTTTTAAAATCAAGAGTCGGAGAAGTTACAATTTCTGAAGTCCATCTATTCCAAAGTGTACAAATAGCAGTAAAAATCTAAGTTGCTGGTCCGCTCCCTCGATCGCGTTCCATCGGATCTGAGGGAACTGCACTGTCCTAATTACGTCTTGGAAACATCGAATGAACTCCTTGATACCATCGCGCCCTGGAGCTTCCTCTGCAGTTATCATGGCCATGCAATCGTGCACCTGGCCACGCTGTATGACTCGGCAGTCTTCTACGGGCGACGGCGAAGGAGGAAACCCTGAGGCAAGGCGTTGAGGTGAGGAGGCCATGGGAGCTCTGGTGTGAACCGTATTCGTGTTGACAAATGTGGAAAGGTTTGAATGAGAACGAATATCTTCATAATACAAGAGATGTATTTTACCGGTTTCGATTATATCTTCGTCAGATATACTTGTATTTCTGACGAAGATATAATCGAAACCGGTCAAATACATCTCTTGTATTATGAAGATATTCGTTCTCACGTATTTCTGACGAAGATATAATCGAAAGCGGTAAAATACATTTGTATTGTGAAGATATTCGTTCTCATTCATACCTTTCCACGGGCTCTGGTGTGTCACGCTCCACGCCACTGAATAACAAACACCGATCATCGTTGGCACACAAACCACATGAAGAGGACGCACGCCGAGCGAGGTCTATATAAGTAATTATAAGTACAAATATAGACCTTCACGACGAGCGCATAGTCGGCTAGAAGGAACGAAGATCGGAAGGCTCACAAAGTCAATCAAGGTCGATCGAACTGCCTGGAAGCTACAGGACATGTATGGGAGCCGTGGTCTGTGTGTGTGTGTGTGTGGGCTTGTGTGTTTGTGTGTGTGTGTGTGTGCGTGTGTATGTGTGGTGTATGTGTGTGTGTGCGTGTGTGTCAGTGTCTGTACATGCGTGAGTGCAAATACTTACACTGAAAAACACTGCCATTTAGAGTTCCTCATCAGGGTAGCAAAAGCCAAAAAAAATAAAAAATAAAAAATGAAATAAATAAAACTTAACAAGAACATATAGCAAAAGCGTAGGAACAAGTATTGAACAGGGGCACGGGAGGAGAGTCGTAGTCAAACTATCCTGATTATGTAAAAAAAAAAAAAAAAATTAAGAAAGATTCTAGGTCGTCCAGTCACCAGTTTACCCCCCCTTTTTAATGAAATGAACGTCTAACGCTTCTTTTATTTAAATCTATGAAGATTTATGAATTGGTTTAGATCCCTTTCCATTCAAGCTGATGCCCTTAAACCGGTAAGTGAATAAAATAAGTATTAGAATCCCTATCTTACCTAAGTCTCTTCACTCATTCATGTGTCAAGAATTTTGCTAGTTTCGTGTTTAAAATGATTGGGACGACATCAAGAGCAACTATATAAGTAGCGTGTTAGGGTCGAGAGATAGATATAATACACGCTTATTTGTGATGGGGCCACCACATAACGCCTATGTATGTACGTGTTTCTCTGTCTGTAATGGCACACATACGTACCTAATCACACACACACACACACACACACACACACACACACACACACACACACACACACACACACACACACACACGCACACACACACAAGGAAACAAACACATCTACATGCACACACAAATTCCATCATGGAAATTTCTATTGAAAATACTGCAGTTATTGCTCCAATATCATCATCAAAAGTATAATTTAGTTACCCTTCGTAGATCGTAATTCTTCAAAGAAAATGAGGCTGGTAAAGAATGAGTAACTTTAGTATTTCAAAAGTAATTTTCGAGAGAGAATTTTTAAGTTCTTGAGAGAGAGAGAGAGAGAGAGAGAGAGAGACAGACAGACAGACAGACAGACAGAGACGGACAGAGGCAGAGGTAGAGACAGAGAAAGAGAGAGAGAGAGAGAGT